CCGGCGGGGGCCGGGAAGCCGGCCGCGGGAAGCGGGCCTGGGCTGGCACTTCGGCTCGGGCCGGGTCGGTGGATGGCCTGGGCGCCGGGGACGTCGGGGCAGGTAGGGGAGCGGGGAGCAAATGGCTGTCGGCGACCCGGAGGTGCCGGCGGCGGCAAATCCTGGAAAGGGGTCGTGGTCATCCAGAGGCCAGCGGGAGCCTCTTGGCAGTCATTCACCCGGCTCTTCGCCTTCCAGACTTGTTGAGTTTTCCCTGCGCGCGATTCCGGTGCCCCGCCTGCCCCATCATTGTCCGGGCTACGTGCCTCCCTGCTGCCCATCGTTCTTTCAAACCGACACCGGGTGGCCGAGAGCCTGCCGCCGAGCACTGGCTGGTGGGTCCAGCAAGCTCCTCGTGCCTTTTCACCTCCATATTTGTTTTAGATTGAATCCCAAACCTTATTCTTGGCCTCCCACCACAGTCCACAATAGCTCTCGCTTCCTACATAGCGGGCTTTTTCTCTGGAAAGCGTCTGCATGTAATACACAGCATTAAAGATTTTTATGAAGCCCTTTGAGGAAGACACACAACACTGCCGTGTGTGCTTTGTGTTTTAAAAATAAATCCCCTTTTAAAATTTTGTGATAGTTGACAGTAGATTGCTTGAAATAAGAAATATAGTGAAAAGGAGGGTCAAGGTATCTTGGAAACTACATTGATAGTCTCCTTAAGAAATAGAAATAGGCAGGGGGAAAATTGGCATATAGTGGGAACTCTTAAGATGTTGTATTATAGCCAAGTGAAGATAGCAACACCAAGAAAAAAAAATACACCCATTCACAAAAGGAAGTGACATCATGGGTCGCCAGACTGAAATTTAGTGAACTTGAGGTAATGGATGGACATAATCACTTATTTTGTGTTTGGTTTGGCACAATTGTAAAATGGAAAGAACACTAGGCCAGGAATTGGGGGACCTGGTGTCTGGTTCAGGGACTAATCATTTCAACTGTCTGCATATCCATTTCTGCAACTATAAAATAATCATCTCTAGGATCCCTTCCAACACTAACAACCTCAGATATCAAAAGGAAAAAACAGTCTTATTCTTGTTCCATTAGGCTGTGAAAAGAACTTCTCCACTTTAGAACTGTAGGTTGTCCTTAAATAAGGCAAAGTTTTCAAGGAAGAATAACTTTATTTTTTATGCTGTAGTACAGTATTGCTTAAAAGGGCAAGATACATGACTTTAGGAGTCCTTTAGGGAATCCCTGAATGTATTTGTCAAATAAGAAATAAATAGCTTTAGGGCATTATGTATATACACAGTTGAAAGTGAATTAAAAGTTACCATCACTGATTGGTCATTTCCTTGTAATTTAATGGCTTTTAAAAATCTTACCTTTGAAAAATGTCTTCTGGGAGTCAAAAAGAAAATAGACTTAAAATTTCATTAATTGCATTAACATGTTGCTTTCACAGGTTGGCCACCTGTAGTAATTTGTGGAACAGGAAAGTGCTATGCAAATGGTCCTAGTTGTACATCTAATTGTATATAAAATTCCTGGAAGTTATAGTTCCAAACCAAGGCAAAATGGAAAGTAAAATGAGGAAACAAAATTCGATTTTTAGATTTTAAAAAATAGATACAAGAAGAAAAATCTATGTCTATTCACATTTAACATGAGCTCATCAAAGAAAGAACCTAAATCTCTTTAAAAAAACAAAAGCATTATTTTGAGTAACATGTTGTAATTTCTAAGGAAAGGTAAGTTAGAAAAAGAAGAAAAGGATAATTTGAGTCCCTACTCTTGATTACAGTGCTATGTGCTTCACATATGTTCTCATTTTATTTTCATCCCAATTCTATGAGGCATTTTTCCCACTTTCTACCTAGTTATAGCTTTGTAGATGAAAATGTTATAAAATACTAACTGGAAAAAAGTTCTGTTTATTCAAATTTCAAATACTGTCACTTGATATGAAGGCCAGTCATGGGAGGATTGAGATAAAACCTAGGAGGAAAAACCTGGGGAGACAGAGCTGGTCCATGCAGGAATGGAGAAGCAACTTCTCTGCACCAACTTCTTTGGTGCTAGGCAGCCTCTTGTGAGGAATGTGGGTCAAGAGGATCAGAATTTGGACAGGTTGGATTCAGCTCTTGGCTGAGCTTTACACTGTTGCCTTCTGTATGATCTGTAATCTTTCTAAGTTTAGTTTACTAGTTTGTAAAACAGGGGTAATTCTTAACCCACGTATATAGAGTTATCTAAAAGCACCGAGCAATGGTGCTTGAATATTCCTTTTTCCTTTTTTAATTTCTAACTTTCCCTTGTATCACTACACCGTTTTTAATTATCTGTCAACCTTCAGTTCTTGAGTAGACTGGTTATTTTTTCCAACATTTTATCATGAAAAATTTCAAATATATAGAAAAGTTGAAAGAATTGTACAATGAATACCCATATTTCTACCATCCAGATTCTACAATTAAATTCCTTACTTGCTCAATTACGTATGTATTCATATATTCATCTCTCTGTCCATACAGAAGTCCATCTTATTTTAATGGATTTCAAATTAAGTTGCTGATATCACTATTATTTACTCCTAGACACTCCAGCATGCATACCATTAACTAGAGGTAAATATTTTTTATGAACTCTATTTTTTTGTTTTGAGGTAAAATTTACTTCAAAGAGTAAAACACATTTACCTTGACTGTACTATTTAGTGAGTTTAACAAACGTAGACACTGGTATAATACAAAAACCTAACAAAGTATAGAACAGTACCCAGCAAAGTTCTCTCATGCCTCTTTCTAGTAGATTCCTGTCCTCCTTCCTTCTCCCTCACTATTCAGATGTGTTATTTTAACATTAAATAGTAGCTGGCTATTTGTAATGGAGTATACCTAGCTGTGTATGGCTTTAAAAATGAGAAGTTCATCTATGCCTATAGATGATCTAGCTTAATACTAAAATATACTAAAATAAGAATCTATGAATTCTTTTGATTGTTTACCATATTGGTAAAAACAATTGAGCATGCATTCCTAATATATGTAGATTTACTTTAAAATTATATATACATGTACTTTGTACTGCTACATACATATATTATAAAATAAACACAAAAAGAAACTAAAAGGAATGATGATATAAATATTTTGTTTTAAAATTTTTGTTGGCAAAATATTATTAACAGTAATAGATTAACTCCATGTTTTTAAAAGTCTTAATTTTTAGAATATCTTTTGCCTGCTTCTTTGTGAGATCTGACTAGATACATGGTCATAGTTTTTATCTTCTAAAGAGATTTTCTGGAATAGAAATGTCAGCTCAGCCATTTCCTTGTTGTTTGCTTGCTCTTATATTAGTATTATCTTTGTGTGGGACTCCCTTTTATTTTTAAGCCACTTGTTTATTTGGTTGAGAGCTAGTTCAGTTAGAAATAGATATTCCATAATTCTGTTCAATTAGGCACATGCAAATGGCAGTAAATCACAATATACCCAAAGTGAATAACTATAACTGTCTGAATAAAGGTACTAGTGTCAATTTATATAGTATATATTAGTATAATTTACCTTTTAACTAAAAGAATAAGAAACTAAAATAGAAACTGTACTGTTTTCTTCTCATACCTCCAAAAATTATCTTGTGTATTCCTTGAGATATGAATGCTCTGCTTATATTACCCCTGCTCTAAAAGATGAAAAAACCATACAAACAGAAAGCCTCAAAACTCTTATGCTTCAACCAAAGGGCTTTTTTAAATTTAAAAACTTTATGTGAGAATTTTCAAGTATTGCTAGGAGAGTAAATTGATCTACTAAAATTAAATACATGTCTACCTGTGACCTAGAAGTCTGTTCTAGGCATATACCCAAGAGAAATGAATGTTTATGTTCACCAAAAGACTTGTACAAGAGTACTCAAACATAGCAGCTTTATTCATAATAGAAGACTGGAAACAACCCAACTGTCTATCAACAGGAGAATGAATAAACAAGTTTATAGGATATTCATACAATGGAGTACTACTTGACAATAAAGAGGAACAAATTACTGATGCCCACAAAAACATGGATGAATCTTAGAAATATAAGGTTGAGTGGAAAAAGCCAGAAGCAAGAGAGTCTATTCTGTATGATTCCCTTTGTATGACATTCACAAACAAAACTGATCAATTGCAATCAGTTCGCAGAGGGGAATTACTGACTGGGAGAAGGCACTGAAGATGTTCCATATCTTCATCCAGATGATGGTTACATGGGCATGTATGTATGTAAAAATTTATTAAATTGTACATTTAAGATTTGTATACTATATAATATGAAAGTTATACCTCAGTTTTAAAAACATTTTATATGAGGTAAGGAGTAGAAAAATCTGTCATGCTTCTACATGGTTTGAATTTCACATTTTTTTAAGCTTTCTATGAGTTTTTTTCTCAGTCCTACCCAATTGCATCTCCCATATTCCCTTTTGACTATTTTAGAAACTTCATTTACTACTTTAGAGCATTCTACTTAGCTCTGGTTTCAGCCTGTCTTGTTTGTTTACCTGCATTAGAGTTTTCTCTTCCTTTCATACTAAATCACTGCTCATCACGTTTTTTATCTGCCTCTCACTTGGTAAAACTTAAGAATAAAGCATTTGACCATACCATTTTATTATGCAGATTGAAAGAGCTGAACTCTTAGTGAGCTTTTGTTGAGTACCTACTCTATGTAAAGTACAGAAGTGTAGTTTTTATCATTTTTCTACCAACAGATTAAATTCATGGCAGTTTTAATACATGATTATAAATTGTTTCCTTATCCTTTATTAATAAAATATTTGTTGAGAATCCTCACTTTTCAATCCATAGCTCTTTCAGGGTTTATTTGCATTTGACAATAAACTACTAGGATATGAGATTTTATTTCTGGAGACCATGCTACATAGTTTGTTTTCAGGGAGTCACTCTGGGACTTAAATTCTTTTTAATCTCAATGTAAATGAGATGTTTATAATCTTCATTACTTTGGCCTTAGTCCAACGAAGTCCAGTGATTCAGTCCTCAGGTAGGATAACACAGATTCACTCAGCCTTTTCCCTAGGGACTACATTCACTTTGCCAGGGAATTGGCACATTGTCTCATTTTCTTCTGCTTAATCTGGGAGCAGATAGGCAACTTAAACTCTTATAATACCTGTATATTCATTTTCCAGTGCTCCCATTTCAACCAGATGAATCTGTGTTCTGGCAATTCCCTTTGGAATGCCCTAATGAATTTTGTTCCCCTATGATTTGAAAAATATTATTAATTCTCTGAAGTCAGGTTTCTACTATAAAAGGTTGTTCGATTCTTTGGAAAATAATGACTTTTTAAAAAATGCCTCTCAGCATTAGAAAAGCATGGTAGGCTAGTAAATACAGTAAACATAATAGGTGAAGAGCCCAAATATTTTTACTTATTAATAAAGAAAGTTCTGTATTGTGAAAGTCTCCAGATGTTAGGTCAGAGTCCAATCCACTTGATGGAGTTATTAGCCCACAGCAAAATGTTGTCCTTATCACTTCAAACAGTGCTGCTGAAAGCATGGACAGTGTCCTGTTACCTGTCGGTGGCAAAATAGGTACAGAAATTGAGAGTAAGAATATAGAAGCTTTAAAATAATTTGATGTAATAGCCTTGTGTTTGTGAATCTAATAAAAACAATTGAGGCTTCATTTTATATGCCTTTTTATTTTTCTAATAAAAAATTCATTTTTATTTTATAAAGTCATTCTGTAACAAAGTAGAAATTTAAAACAAAACTGGTTCTTCACCACAGGTAGAGTAGAAGTGCTGACTATAAAGAACTTAGAAAGATCAGTAGTGGTCCTCATACCTAAAACAATTTGCTTATACTATAAACTATTTAAACTGTGTCAACTATGTAAAAGAAGGAATGAATTGACCTTCATCTTATAAACATTAATTTATATTATTACAAAAAAGATTTATTTATAGCAAAAAATTTTTATTATACAAGTAATAATGTTCATTGTAGAAATGTTAATATCTCTATATCTAGTTATAAGCATCATGAATATGCACCTGTATATGTAGGTAAATAATTTTTATAATATATACAGTTTCACAACCTTTTCCCTCACTTAAACACTGTATCTTAAAAATGACTTTGAACGGCAATGAATATATTTCTATAACATCATTTGTAATAGCTATCTGATAATTTATAGTGTGAACCTATTTATTGTATATTATACCCACTTCCTATTACAGAATATTTAGAGTTTTTTACTTTTTAACTATAAAACAAGACTCAGACACATTTGTTTAGCTAAATCATTAGTTATTTCCTTAGGACAAGTTTCTAGAAACTACATTTCTGAGTCAAGAGGCATGTACACATTTTAGAGTTTTGGATTTGTATTGCCAGATTACTGTCCAGAAAGGTTTTGACTATCTTACATACCTGTTAGAATAAGAGAATACCTGTATTCTCACATATTCATTAAAAGTAAATGAATCACATTAAAAAAATCTTTGTCAATTTAATAAACACAAATAATTAATTTCTTTAGTTACAAGTTAGGCTGAATATATATATATATCAGGATATATATCAAATCATATATGTGTCTTTATTACAAGTTAGGGTAAATATAAATGATAACATTGCTATTAGATATTATCCCCAAAACTCAGCTTAAGAAATTCACCCAGTGTCATGCAGTTAATAATCCCAGACCATTAAGAATGCCACAAGAACATAAGAAATGTGACATTAAATTAGGTAAAAGGACTGAAGAAGCATTTGGCAGCATGTAAGAAGACCATATATACTATATGTGGAACCCACAAGTAGCTGTGAAGTGGGCCGTCTTAAATCAGAGAATATTTATTATAGTAGATTATATTATCTTTCTCTAGTCTATATCTATTCGAAAGGCCTTTGACCCAGGGAGTATATAAACAAATGAGACATTAGTTATACATATGGAGAAAGCAGAGAACAATTACAAATCAATTCTGAATGAATAGCATAGTGTCAGATATAGGTTCTAAAACTTTGTGTGTGAGAACACATATACTTTGAACATCAAGTAGGGTACTTATATGAGAGTTACTGGTTCAGTAGGGAGCCAGAAGCCAAGTCATAAAAATGACTTATTAGCCTATGTAGATTTCTGCCAGTTTACTGCATTCTCAATCCCAATAACAACATTTTCCTATGTTAATTTACTGCCATTCATATAGATAATCTGTCAGCCTGATTAAAATAGAGGATAGAGGTAGTAAATGAATTTTTCTATTAATATCTTCTTCTTGCCTACATAAGAATTTACTGCAATTAGTCTGGTAAATAACCATCCATATGGTCACAGAGAGCCACACAGCAGTAAAAAAAAAAAAAAAAAGAATAAAGTAATCTAATGATTGGTGAGCTCAAGCTTTCAGAATGACATCCTCCAGATTTCTAAGGAAGCCCTGTAATGTAGGGAAAGAAAAACTAGACCAGGAATTAAAAGACAAGTACCTAATTCCACGACTGTCTTGCTTTGTTAGGTTAGGCATCTTTTACAACCTCTTTATAAAATAGGGAGGATGATAATTCTTATTCTCTTTCTCTTCTTTTTCCTAGGAATCAAATGTTAAAGTATACATGAAAGAACTTGTTTCCTAATTAAGTTCTGATTAAGTTGCTAAATAATTACCTTCCAGGAACAGAAATAATGCAAGATACCTAGTAAAGTCTCAGTAAATGCTTCTGTGGCTTGGCAGTTGTGTTTTTCAGCAGTTTCTTTGTGGCTTTATAATAGTAAGTTGGCTCTAGACACTGGGAATTGTGGGGACTTCTCATTGTTATCCCTCCTTCAGATTCCTGAATGTGATGGGCCATTTCTGGAGTTTCCATAGAGTTCAGGATTTGGGGGCAAGATAGACTGGACCATGCTGGCATATAAAAAGAATATATGAATAAATTACTCTTCCCATTTGATCACTGAGATTCATGCTCTGAGCAGTTTCTCTAAGTCTGTAAGGCTACCCAGAAGTGGAGGTGTCAGTGTAGAAGAGTCAGTGGTAGCAGCAAGGTAGCGTCTATGGGAACTCAATTCTTGATAACATACAAGTAACTTCTCAGTTTCTATTTGCAAAATTTGTTTAGAATTAGAGTTGTTACAAGTGATAGGTTCAGTAGTGGTTAGCACATATAAAAATGAGTTTTACAGAAGATTAAAGAATTTTTATGTAGACAGGCATGTCAGAAAATAAACTTATAGCTTTAGATGTCTATTTCCTTCTTTGAGATTGAAGTAGAGCTTTATTACTAATAACATCTTTAATTTTGGGAGGAAATGGATATTCAGAGGGAGTATTATAAATTCTTTGTTAATTTTTTTAGCGTTAGCATAGTTGAATGAATTGAAAATTCCCTCTAGACCTCTATTTGGCTTTCAAAATGGGACCAACTGTTTTAAAACAAAATACAACTTTTATTAACCTCCTTCACTGGACTGCTACATGAGGATTAAGTAAATAATTTTGCGAAAATATTTATACCTTCGAAATGAGTAATTGTTGCTGACTGATTCTGTTGCAGTCTACTGGTTTTCAGGTTTTTTGGACTATAATCCACAGGAAGAAATAAACATTAATTCCCGTTTTATTGTACAAGTGCATGGGCATACATACCCACATACATACACACACAGCTATGGTTTGAATATAGTTTGTCCCTACCAAAACTCATGTTGAAGTTTGATCCCCAATGTGGCGGTGTTGGGAGATGGAGCCTAGTAAGAGGTATTGGGTCATGAGGGCAGATCTCTTATGAATAGGTTGGTGCTATTCTTGTGGTAGTAAGTTGTCATTCATTAGAGACTGGATTGATTCTCTGGGAGTAGATTAGTTCCTTCAAGAGTGGGTTGCTATAAAGCAAGGTTCCTTCTGTTTGCTCCTTTGCAACATGACCGCTTCCTCTCTTACCTTCTCCACCATGTTTTGACCTAGCATGTGGCCCTCATCAGAAGCCAAGCAGATACTGGTGTCATGCTTCTCATGGTTTCCAGCCTGCAGAACCATGAGCTAGATAAACCTCTTTTCCTTTTCACAGCCATAGGTATTCTGTTACAGCTGTACAAAACAGGAACACCAGAAATTTTTTTTTACCAAATCATACTCACTATATGTGATACATTCTGATATTTTTATATTCTGTATAAAATCAGGTAGCAACCTACTAAATCATTTTTACTACCTACAGTTTGAAAAGCATTGGTATGATCTTTTAGGCCAAAGGGAACTATATGAGTTGTATGTGTTTATGTGGAACAGAAGTTGGATTTTTATGATGGTGATTTGTTAACAGTCATGAGTTTTTTATTCTGCCATAGCCACAGTCTTACCAGAAGGTCACATAAACGTAAGAAATTAAAGTGATATTGTATTAGGTTGTTTATCCTGGCCAGTATTTCCCTGATCTCAAAAGGTTAGGTATACATATCAAACATTTTCTATTTTCATCTTCCTTCTAATCTTTGAACTTCAAATGTATCCACAACTATCTCGAAACTAATTATACTTTATATATATATATATATATATACACACACACACACATACATACATATGTATACCTTCTTAAGAGTAATAAGCTCCATATGTTTTCTAACTACCCAATTATATAGTGTTTTCTTTTCTCTGGGAGGCAGTAAGGTAGAAGAGCAAAAGCTTTGTGTGCAGATGAAACTGGTTCTGTATATTGCCTCTGTCCCTCAGCAGATGAATGACCTTGGGCAGTTTACCTAATCTTTTAGCTTCTGTGGACTCATCTGTAAAATGGAGACAATAATGCTTTCCTTTCAGGATCTTTTCAAGAATTATGAATGTAAAAGAACCTGAAGTTTAACAAATGATCAGAAAATGTTAGTTTTCCTCCCCTTCACCCCTTTCCTGTCCTTCTTACTGAGACCCTCTTCCTCTTATTTGACCCCATCCTTTTCCTCCTTTCATTCAACGTTCAGTGCATATTTTTCTAATGTTTGCTATGTTCCAGGCATTAGAGTGCTGGGGTAGGTACTAGGGGTAGAGAAGTGATCCAGAGTCTTTTTTCTCACATAATTTAAGCCTTGTACCCATAACTAGCTGTTTTTCTTCAAACGAAATAATAATCTCTTTTACCTTTCAGGTATTGCTCTCTCTGTTTCTCTGGTAGCCAAGCTTCATGAAGAACTGGGCCGTGATGTCATTCTCTCCCCTCTCCCACTGATCACCATGACCTGCCAAGCCAAAGAACACATTCCACACTTTTGCCTCTGGAATTTAATACTGCATTTAAAAACTTATCTTCCCTTGGCTTCCCACATGTGTTTCTTTTTTTGAAAATTTCTTCCACTTCTCTGACAGTGCCTTTGCAGGTTGTTCTTTGGCTTCAGCCACAATTCTTCAAGATGATATATCTTCCAAACCTCTATTTCAGGCCCAGATTCACTATTGTGAGCTTCAAATCCAAAAATTCATTTACCTACTAGATAGCTCCATCTAGCTATCCCTCAGATACCACAAATTTATTGTCAAAACTAATCTAGCTGTCCTACCCCACCAAAATATTCCTCTCTTAAAGGCTTACTATCCAACGAGTCACCCCAAAATACTAAGACCTCCAGTCATCTTAGATGCTGTTTTTACTTTATCTCCCATATCTTATTGAGTACCTTATGATGTCATGATGGGCTGTACAAATGGGGGCCTGTTGGTATTAATAGTTCTGATAGAGAAAAGTGGTATGAGATTTGATTTATCATGAAGCTCAGGGCAATGTAAGGATGCTAAACTCGAATGTGAGGAATATTTATGTTGTAAACAGGATATATTAATAATTTCAGCAGAATAGTATGAAATGAAATTAATATTGGAATTTTATTGGTATCAATTTTATTTCTATTTAATATTTAGATTCTATCTTGGTTTTATAGTATGTGGTTCTAACAGTACATTAACAAGAGGACTTTATACTTATTGGTATATTTGTGCATATTTCAAAACCTATAGGACCTGCATATTTCCATACCATATCTTATTTATCCTTTCATCAATCCTTGATGGGTATTGCTACTTTGGGTTGTTATGAATAATGCTGCAGTAAACATTCCTAAACAAGTTTATAAGTGGACTTAGGTTTTCAGTTGTCTTGGGTATATGCATAGGAATAGAATTGCTGGGTTATGCTAATTCTGTGTTTAACCATTTGAGGAATTGCCAGGCTCTTTTTTTCTTATGAATATTTAGAATTTTATTAAATTGTTTTTTTTTAATTTCAGAATATTACAGGGTACACATGTTTAGGTTACATATGTTGCCCTTGTACCACCCAAGTCAGAACTACACATGTGCCTATCCCGCAGGCAGTGCAGACCGTAACCATTAGGTGTGAATATTCTCATCCCCTCCTTCCTCCTCCCACCTGACACTTCATGAATGTTACTTCCATATGTACACGTAAGTGTTAACCAATCATTACCAATTGGATGCTGAGTATATGTGGAGCTTGTTTTTCCATTCTGGTGATACTTCAGAGAATGGGCTCCAGCTCCATTCAGGATAATACAAGAGGTATTAGTTCACCATTGTTTTTTGTGGCTGAGAAGTACTCCATGGTATACATATACCACATTTTATTAATCCACTTATGTATTGATGGGCACTTAGGTTGTTTCCATGTCTTTGCAACTGTGAATTGTGTTGCTATAAACATTCGAATACAGATGTCTTTTTTATATAATGTCTTTTTTCCTTAGGGTAGATGCCCAGTAGTGGAATTGCTGGATCAAATGGTAGTTCTACTTTTAGTTCTTTGAAGTATCTCCATATTACTTTCCATAGAGGTTGTACTTGTTTGTAGTCCTTCCAGCAGAATATGAGTGTTCCTATCTCTACACATCTACATTAACATTTGTTTTTTGGGGGACTTTTTGGTAAAAGCCATTCTCACTGGTGTTAAGTGATATGTCATTGTGGTCTTGATTTGCATCCCTGATGATAAGAGATGTTGAACATTTTTTCATATGTTTGTTGGCCTGTCTTCATTTGAAAAGTTTCTGTTCATATCTTTTGCCCACTTTTTAATGGGGTTGTTTGATTTTTTTCTTGATGATTTTCCTGAGTTCTATGTAGATTCTACTTATCAGCCCTTTATCAGGTGTATAGCATGCAAATATTTTCTCCCATTCTGTAGGTTGTCTGTTCGCTCTAATGATAGTTTCTTTGGCTGTGCAGAAGCTTTTTAATTTGATCAGGTCCCATTTATTTATTTTTGTTGTTTCTATGATTGCTTTTGGAGTCTTCTTCATAAATTCTTTGCCTAGGCTGATGTCTGTAAGAGTTTTTCCCATGTTTTCTTTTAGAATTCTTATAGTTTCATGTTTTAGGTTGAACTGTGTTATCCATTATGAGTTGATATTTGTGAGAGGTGCAGATCCTGTTTCAGTCTTCTACATGGGGCTATCCAATTTTCTTAGCACCATTTATTGAATAGGGATTCTTTTCCCCAGTGTATGTTTTTGTCTGCTTTGTCAAAACATCAGATGGCTATATGAGGATGGTTTTGTATCTAGGTTCCCAGTCCTATTCCACTGGTCTGTGTCTCTGTTCTTGTGCCAGTACTATGTTATTACAGTTACCACAGCCTTGTAGTATAGCTTGAAGTCTGGTAAATTGATGTCTCCCAATTTGTTCTTTTTGCTTAAGGTTGCTTTATTTGTTCAGGGTCTGTTCCATATGAAGCATAGAATTATTTTTTCTAGATCTATGAAAAATGATGTTGGCATCTTAATAGGGATTACATTAAATCTGTAGATCACTTTGCGTAGTGTAGACATTTTAACAATGTTGATTCTGCCAGTCCATGAGCATGATATGGTTTTCCATCTGTTTACGTCCTCTGCTATTTCCTTTCTCGGTGTTTTGTAATTCTCCCTGTAGAGGTCTTTCACCTCCTTAAATATATTCCTAGGTATTTTATTGTCTTTGTTACTATTGTGAAAGGTACTGATCTTTGATTTGGTTCTCAGTTTCACTGTTGTTGGCTTATACGAACACTACTGATTTGTGTACATTGATTTTGTAACCTGAGACTTTGCTGAACTTATTTATCAATTCCAGTAGTCTTTTTCCAGAATCTTTGGGGTTTTCTAGATTTAAGATTATATCATCAGCAAAGATAAATAGTTTGACCTATTCTGCCCCTATTTGGATACCCTTGATTTCCTTCTCTTCCCTGATTGGTGTGGCTAGGACTTTCAGTACTATGTTGAATAGAAGTCATGATAGAGGGCAACCTTGTCTGGTTCCAGTTCTAAACTGGGATGCTTTCAATTTTTCCCTTGTACAGTATGATGTTGCCTGTGGGTTTGTCATATATGGCTTTTATCATTTTGAGGTAAGTCCCATCTATGCCTATTTTGTTAAGAGTTCTTACCATAAAAGGGTGCTGAATTTTGTCAAATGCTTTTTCTGTATATATTGAGAGGATCATATGGTCTTCATTTTTGCTTCTGTTTATGTTGTGAATTACATTTATAGATTTGCGTATGTTGAACCATCCCTGCATCTTTGGGATGAAGCCCACTTGGTCATGATAGATTATTATTTTGATGAACAGCTGAATTTCATTTGCTAGGATTTTACTGAGGATTTTTGGATCTGTATTCATAAAGAATATTGATCTGTAGTTTTCTTTTTTTGTTGAGTCCTTTCCCAGTTTTGGTATTAGGGTGATGTTGGCTTCATAAAACATGTCAGGGAGGATTGCTTCCTTCTAGATGTTGTGGAATAATTTCTGTAGGATAGGCACAAGTTCTTCTTTGTAATTCAGATGTGAAACCATCTGGTCCGGGACTTTTTTTATTTAGGAAGGTTTTTTATTGCTGTTTCAATTCTGTTACTTGATATTGGTCTGTTTAGGAGTTCTGTTTCTTCCTGACTGAGCCTAGGGAGGCTGTGTGTTTCTAAGAATTTGTCCATTTCCTCCACATTTTCAAGTTTATGTGCCTAGAGATTTTTATAGTATTCATAGATGATATTTGTATTCCAAACTATCAGTTGTAATTTCTCCTTTTTCATTCCTGAGTTTATTAGAGTCCTTTCTTTCCTGTTCCTGATTAATCTTATCAAGAGGTGTGTCAATTTTGTTTATCTTTTCAAAGAACCAGGTTTTTGTTTCATTAATCTTTTGAATAGTTCTTTTGTTATCAGTTTCATTTATTTCTGCTCTGATCTTGGTTATTTCTTTACCTCTGCTGGGTTTGGGATTGGTTTGCTTTTCTTTTTCTAGTTCTTTGAGTCAATTCATTAGATTGTTGATTTATGATCCTTCTATCTTTTGGATGTAGGCATTTAAGGTTATTAATTTTCCTCTCAGGACTGCTTTAGTTGTCTCCCACAGATTTTGATAACTTGTGTTCCCTTTATCATTTAGTTCAAAGAATCTTTTGATTTCCATCTTAATTTCCTCTTTCACCCAATGATCATTCAGCAGTAGGTTGTTTAGTTTCCATAACTTTGTGTAGAGATGAGTGTTTCTGTTGGAATTTATTTCTAATTTTACTCCACTGTGGTCTAAGAAGATGCATGGTATAATTTGTGTGTGGGCGGGGTTAATTTGTTAAGACCTGTTTTGTGGCCTAGGATGTGGTCAGTCTTAGAGACTGTCTCATGAGCTGTTAAGAAGAATGTATATTCAGTGGTTTCAGGGTAGAAAGTTCTGTAAATATCTGTTAGGCCCATTTGATCTAGAGTTCTAAGTCCATTGTTTGTTTCTGTTTGGAAGATCTATCCTGTTCTGGCAGTGGGGTGTTGAATCCTCAGCTATTATAGTGCTGTTGTTTATCATTTTGTTTAGGTCAAGTAGGATTTGCTTTATGAATCTGGGCACACCTGTGTTGGGTGTGTAAATATTTAGAATTGTATGTCTTCTTGTTGAGTTGTTTCCCTTTACCATTATATAATGACCATTTTTCTCTTTCATTGCTTTTGTTGATTTGAAGACTAAGTTATCTGATATGAGAACTGCTACATCATCTTTCTTTTGGCTTTTCTTTGCATGGAATATCATTTTCCATTCCTCTCCCTTGAGTCTGAATGCATCCTTGTGGATTAGATGTGTTTCCTGAAGACAGCAGATACTTGGCTTGCGTATATTTATCCATTCCACCAGGCTGTGTCTCTTCAGTGGGTAGTTTAAGCCATTCACATTTATTGAAAGAATTGTTAAGTGGAGTGG